GGAATGGAAGATGCACTTTTAGACCTCTCTCCATGAGCAGTTCCATTTTTATTCACCTCTCCCATTCATCACAGGAGGGTCAGAGCCACTTGGCATTTCACAGGCTGGGACCTAGGGTAAATAAATACAGCGTTCTCAGGGAGAGGACAAATGCAAAGTTCAGACCTGGACTAGAACCTTCTCAAAGCTTTGGACCTTATTTGCAGTAATCTCTAAGGTACTGCTGCAATTCAGCAGAGATCTTTGTCGTCTTTGCTACAACGCTGCTAACCAACTCATTATCAATGATGTGGAGTAAGAACATGTGAGATTATGGACATAAAAGTTACTGAACAACTTCTCTTCATCCAGACATTCCCTCTTGCCTGATGAAGATCACAATCCAATTGTTTTACACTGAAGATTAAAAAACAATGTTTTATGGATAAAAGGAAGAGGAATGTGCATTCCACTATGGTCTCTAACTCCCAGGCCCTTCCCTTTCACAAGCCAACTGCTTTCCCCCAGTGAGTATTTCCTGGGTCATGAAGGGTGACCCTTTCCATCTGGAATCAATCAGTCAACTCCTGACAACTTCCTGAAACACCTCACTCCATTTCCTGTTCTCTCCCCCTTCTCTCCTTCCCCCTGGTTTGCTTCACTCTTCAAAACTCCAGGCCACAGCAGCTTAATGTTAGAGGGTCAGACACAGTTAGACTCCAAAACACTACACAAGAACACCTTTGACCTTCAAAAATCTTTACATCTTAGCTAAACAAATCAAGGTCAACGTTTCTTACCATTACCTTGTTAACCATTTATATGCATTTTTGCCAATACTCTTCTGAACACGTATTTATCAGTAACACTTGTTCTCCTAACATCGTAAAACATTCCAGACCTTTTTTCATAAAACCTGTATTTAGTGCCGATGAAAGGTGATGTACAAACTTCCCTGGGGATTTAAATTCTCAGATTTGTCCACGGCACTGGCAAATTACCAGCAAACAGCTTTGGTGCGGGTTTTTTCCCTGATCTGATGGCACTGCTTCTTGTATATGATAGTATGGCTTCTCTGCCTATTCAGTTGATGGTCTTTTACCTAACACAAGTAGTTAAGAAGAAAATGTAATCCTAAGGGAACAATCTGAGAAGATAAAAATATATCAGGTAGACCATGGATTCTGCTAATTGTATCTGAAGGCCAAATTTGACAGAGCCCAAGACCTGGCTCAACCTGTCACCTCTGTTGGAGTTTCAGAGGACAACCGATCAAGCAAGAAACAGACAGGGTAAAGCGTTATTCTTTCATCCATCCAAACATAGGTTCCACCTCTAGGTACAGCAAGGGAGTTGCAGGCTTCTAAGCAAAGTTGTCAGCAGTTCTTAAGATTCTCTCTGCAAATCTGCAAGGGTCTTGTTATTAGCTATGAAGCCACAGACATAAAATAATGACTGCTTAGCAGTACTGAAGAAATGCATGTGCTGTATCTCAACGTTATTTTTCTTTCCCTGGTGGATTTCTGTAATGTAATCCCTGCTCAAAAACCTCAGTGAGGGTTCACCTACCCTGACATTCAGTCAAACTGTCTTTAGGATGTTAAACTCAGGTTCTCCGAGCTGCACTGCCCCTCTTTCACTTCCAGGCACAAAGTGTTGTATTTCTTTACAAACCTTCACCTGAGTACTACAATTTTTCCTCCCCCACCTACACACTATACCAGTATTTCTGTATTCTAAAGTATGCTCCTCTTCAGATCACATACATGCAAGTAAATACACACCATCATATACATAAAAGCTGTATCACTCACAGACACCTATTTAGACATATGGTACAAACATTCCAGGCATACAGGCATTTACTTACATGTAACATATCTCATCACTGTGTAAATGATCTCTCTCAAAAAATTCCTGTTACCATTCCAAGTGTGGAAAAAATTCTTTATGACATTGTACATCTGGAAACAATATTACATTCCTGATGCACTTTCCCTTGTAACTCTCTAGTCACAGCACCATGTTATTTTAACTTTTCAAAAGCATAACTACTATGAGTATTTTAAAAATTATCATCATTATTATTATTTTCCAGCTGGGTGGAAGAAAACATGTCAGGCCTCATCCTGCTGTCCTCACTTGGACAGGGCTCCCATTGATGTCAACAGGCGTTTTGGTTGAGCGAGTAATACAGGAGTAGATGCTAGAATATAATGTGTTTGCTTCATAGTTGGATTAGGAATAAGATAAACAATGTGAAAAATGCCAGCAGCCTCTCTGTGCTCAAAACTTCTATTGAATACTTTGGGAAATCCTCCCTGACACCCTGAGCCTGCTGCAAACTCCAGGCTAACAGAAAAAACTATGCACATGGCCTTCGTTTCAGGAACGGGGCCTCCTAAGATACAGGGCACAGGGGTAGGAGAGAACTCCTGGGTCACTGACATCTACTCTGCTGCCATTACAGACAACCAAACCATGTAGATACTTTTACAAAATTGTCTTCGACTATTTCAAGCTTTTGCCTTTGGTATTCCTCTTGTTTTAAAGCCTGCTTGTCCTGATGGTTAGGGAATTTATGGTTTACAGCCTAAATTTATTCCTAGTCAGTTTATACTTAACACCAGCTTTAAAATTATGATTTCCCATTCTGATCTACCTTTGGATATGTTTAGACAGCAGTTATGTCCCTTCTCAGTGCATGTCACTAAAATACTGGAGCCAAGCTCTTATCCACTCCCTAGTCACCTTAATGACCCATTCCTGCACCTGTTCCAATTTCATTTTCATTCTCTTTTGAAGATAGTTAAACCACTATATTGTATTCCAAACAAGAAATCAGCAGGGTACAATGGTACAAATGCATCCTTCTTTCTACTGGCAAAGCCTACCTGAGACGTAGTACGATCTCATTTGTTGTTTGTTTCTAATAGACGCTGCACAGCTCTGGCAACTCACTGTTGCAATGGCTATTTGGTCTTCAGATCTGCGCACATTAAGCTCCTTGAGTGCTTTTTCTTTTGCAGCTGCAGTCAGTCCCTGCCTTACTCTTACAGAATCTAAAATAACATAATCTTTTGTTGGGTCAGTCACTATCTGATGAAGAAATCTGCCACCCCAAAGTAACTCTGGACTCTGCTGGTACTAGTTGCATTTGTTTCGCAATCTATACCTGGGAAATTCGTCTCCCACAGCGACATTAGTCTGTGTAGTATTCACCTCTCTAACAACAGTTCAGTGATTTCAATCTGTATCCAAATCTGACCATGGGGGTCTCTGGCACATTCTTTCACCATCGGTGTGAAAAGGATTTTGATTTAGACGA